AAGATGAAAAAAGAGGAAGAGGAAGAACTAGAGTGAGAAGGAGAAAAACAGGGAGTGAGGGCAGAAGCAAGAAAGGGAGAGAGGAAAAGAGGTAATGATAGATAGATAAATAGATGACAGAAGGTTTGGGAGCCAGAAGGACTAGAAATACCAGTCCCCCACTTCCTGTGCACACTAGCAAGTAAGTTTCCCTCTCTGAATCTCAGTTTTCACACCTGTGAAGTTAGGGTCATCATACATTCTCATGGGGATGAGGAGAAGGTGAAGATACTGGGATGGGATGCATGTGAAGTCCCCGGTCTAGACAAGCAATCATGAGGTGGGCGCCTCCTCCCTGTTCCCCTCGTTGTCCCCCAGCATCCTAGGATCCTCCACTTCATTGGCTGGGATAGTGCCCAGAGGAAGACTGCTCCTGGGGTTATGACTGGGCACTTTAGGGGTGCTAACAGCAAGTATATGTGGGCAGTAGACATCTGGGGTCTTCTCCAGCATACCTGGACACCCATGTGTGTCAGTGGACACCAGGAGGCAGGTCCCTGCAGTCCCAGCAGGGAGCAGGTGAGAGAATTGAGCAAATGCCTTATCATCAACTTCCCTGCTCAGCACCCCAGCCTGGGGCAATCATCCTGTTTCTTCCCACTTCCCCAAAAGCCCAATATAAGGACTGCCTCTGGGACCCAGCAGTCAGAGACACCAAGAGTGGAGGTCTCTGACTCTTGAGAGGTGAGTGCTCCCCCAGCTGCCAAGGGAGGAGGGTTCCAAGGCTTGGAAGGAAGCAGAAGCCTATATGGCAAACACCTAGGAGGCCTGTCCTTAGGACCCTGATGACCACTGTCCTTCCTCTCTGTCCTCATTGTAGTAATATGTGCCCTGACCCAGGGTAGCCCTTTTTCTGCAGAGGCAAGAGTCTGGGCTGAGTGTGGTCCTAGGGGCCAGTGATCGAATGCTCAGGTAAAACGGACTTTTCCTGCATCTCCAGATCAGCGTGTGTTCACTGGGGGAGAAGGAAGCTCTCTAGTTTGCCTTTAATCATTGCATGTCTGTGTGTGACAGGGGCTGTGCAGACCAGTGACCAGACCCAAGGCCGGAAGTGAAGCTGTGTCCGTGCCACAAGAATAGTGAATATGAAACTCCCCCTGCTCCTGCTGCTCCTCCTGCTGGGGACAGTTGCTGCTTTTCATCTGGGTAAGTCCTCCCTTCCATTTTCATCCAGCTTGACCCCTTTTCTTCTTTCTGGCAGCTCTTTTGCTCTCTGGGTCAGGGCCACACCTTTTTTTTCTTTAGTGGACCCAGCTCCCCTCAGGTAAGATCTCTCCTGGACTCAGAAATGTGACCTGAACAATCTGTCAGGGCTCCTCCTCGAGCAAAAACCACCCACCTTCTCAGAGGTGCTTCTTCCTACCCCGAAATACACACCTGTCAGCCAGCGCCAGGTGCTCACCCCTTTGTGTGAGTTCTCACCTCACCCCACAGGGAGGAGATCCTTCTGGCCTAGGCTCCAGAAGGAGGCACTAGGAAGGCTTGAGTGGGGCTGTCGGAGCTGTCCGTGGTCCTGGAAGAAGGGGACCCCTGACCTGATGGCAGGCTACTGTTCTTCCCAGGGAATGATGCCCCGTATCCTGACAGTCAAGAGTCACAGGCAGACCTGAGCCAGGATCTGGAAGGCTCAGGGGAGCAGGAGGGTGAGGCAGTCCTGACTGAGGAGGCGATTCAGTCTGAAGGAGAGCAGGTGAAGGCTTCCAGCCTCAAAGATGCCTTTGAGGACAAGAAGGCCATGGAGTCAGACCCAGGTGCCCTTGACAAGAACTTGCAGTGCCCCAGGGCCGAGGACACGGTGGAAATTCGGGGCGGTCCTGGGTGCAAGACCTGCCAGTACGTGTTGGTGCGGACTGTCTTAACATTTGCAGACGCTCAGGTAAGTGGCAAGGAGGCTGCTGTGGAAGGAGGACCAGGGGCAGGAGAAGAGAGTGGGTTCCACCTCCTGTTCCCTATTCATTTACACTAGTGGTTCTCAAAGGCTAGTGTGCAGCAGACTCTTCTATAGGTCTTGTTGAAGCATGGATTTCAGGGTTATCAATCCTGGGGTGGGTCCTAAGAGTTTGCATTTTGGACCAAGTGCCAGGTGATAATGATATTGTTGGTCTGGAGACAGTACTTTAAGAATCACTGATTTGGACAAAAAGGCTTTGGTACTAGTTATACCTGTGTTAAACCCTGGATCCATCTATCATTGTCAAGTTACCTGGGCAAGTCACTTCACCCTTCAGAGATTCGGGATCTTCACTTGTACAATGGAGATATATAGTAGCAACCTCTTAGGTTGTGGTGAGAATTAAATGAGATAATACATGGAAAGCATTTGGAACAGTCTTTAAGTCATTGTGAACTCCCAGTAAATGGTGCCTAAGATTATTCTAAGTATTATTATTATTTCTTGCAAGAAGTTCCCAGTGACAGATTTCTGACCTGACCAGGATTGTGAACTCCCCTGGAGACTCAGGAACTTGAGGGAAAATACTGCAGTGAATTCTCTATTCCACCTCTTCTTTCTGCAGAACACCTGCAGGAGGTGCTACAGAGGCAACCTCGTCTCTATCCACAACATCAGCATCAACATTTATGTCCAAACGTTGGCCAGGCTGCTGCATGTCTGGATTGGAGGTGCCATCGGGGGCTGGGTAAGTGAGGGGCCAGCTCCCAGGTACAGAAAGTTCTCTCTAGCATCAGGCCTCATTCCAGCAGCCCAGTGACATTTCTGTGGGAGGTTGTGGGGGAGCTGGCTGGTGCTGGCTAAGGAAAACTGGTGATTGTGCACATCTCTTCCCAACTCCATGTTCAGGGACTTCATGCCTGTGGCATGAAATCTGCCATGGCAGGTGTATTTACCCCAAGGGAATTGGCTATTGTTATAAATCAGAGTTCCTCCTTTGATCTGCCTTCTCACTTTCCCTCAGAGCTGGTTGGTAAACAGTTACCAGCTCACCACTGGAGTCAGGAGATCTGTTCCTGATCCACAGGAGACTTGTATTCACAGGAAGTTTCAGAAGCCTGGCTGTGTGAGGCGGGGAGGGACCACTGCTCTTCTATTGTCATTGCCTGCAAACCTCAGGGGTGGGTGTCCAGCATATCTGGCTCCTAGCTGGGTGGGCAGTGCCCAGAAAGGGACACTCAGTGGGCATTTTCTGGACCCTCTAGATATGTCCGTCTTCCTGGCCCTCAGCCTCTGACCCAGCCTATCACCTCTCTTGTTCTAGTGCTCCGGATTTCACTGGACTGATGGAAGTGCTGTGAATTTCAGATACTGGGCACATAATCATGGGCATGGCCACTGTGTGTCCCTATGGAGAGGTGAGGGGGACTAGGCACGAGGGCAAAGAGAAGGGATGGCAAGGTGGACTCTAACACACTGTCCCTTTGAGCTGCCTGAGCACGCCTCCTCAAACTCACAGCTTCCCCACAACTGGAGAACCAACGTCCTGTCTGTGAGGAGGGTTGTGATGTAGGGTGAGGAGGTGCCCTGTGTGAGGGCTGGATGGCGGCTCTCCATCCTCACAGAGGAAGCTCAGCTGGGGCCCTGGGGCCTCTTTTCCTTCCTATACTACTGATGTGACAATTGAGAATAGCCAAGGTGAATGAAATGTGTGGATGAGGGAAGAGGAAGAGATGTGCAAATTAGGAATGGCTGAATGTCAGACATGAGGGACTCAGGACCATGGCTAGGGCATACACCATGGAGAAAGGCTGCCACCATTCCCACCCCAAACCTGCCACTTGCCCACTGGCATTCAGGCCAGTGGTTTCCTCGCTGAGCCTCAAGTTCCTCATCTGTGCTGTGGGGATGAGGATAGCACCTCCCTCTGGGAGTCATTGTGAGGATTAGCCAGGAGCCCACAGAAAGCACTCAGCACCTTGTCTTCCTGGGGTGAAAACTCAACAAACACAAGCTAGTGGGGGTGTGTGGCAAACATATCATGACAATTGGAGGGCAAGGGGGGCATGGGCCACACTCTGCTGGCAGCTGACACCACCGTGTTCTCTACTGCTAGGGGGTCATTGGCAACAATCAGGTTGTGGAACACATCTGCCCTTCATCTGCTCCTACTAAGCCGGTGGCACAGAAGAGATCCTACCTTGAGCCCCCTCCCTACACCCCTGCTGGCGGCCCCTGGCCCACCCTGGACACTGGGCTGGACTTCCTCCTTCTCCTGGTCATAAAGCCATGTTTCCCACTGCATTTGCTGACTCTTGTTTCTTCATTGCTCATTGGAGTGCTCCCCGGGGCTGGAAATTCTGGAACCCCTCACTCCTGCAGGATGGGGCTTTGAGGAAAGTAAAGGATGTCCAGGGGCCCACAGAGGTGTGGGAATGGGGGTGGGGCGCTGAGGGGTTTGGCTGCAGCGCCACCTAGGGGCGACGCCAAGGCTGGGTGGCTCTCCCTACCCTTCTCAGCCCAGGCTGGGGGACTCCATCTCTCTCTGCACATGCTGTCTGCTCTGAGGAAAGTCCTTATTGGTTGGGGTCTAGTGGCTGTGGAACTGGCCCTCCTGCTTTGTTTGGATTCAGTATTGGGTGGGGGATGGGGTGGGAGTGGGGAAGCTTTCTTAAATGAGGGTGACATCACTGATTCAAGAACTGGAGGACTGTTAAAAATTTAACTGAGTACATTTAAAGATGAAATTGGCTTTATTCATCAATTCATGAATCAGGCAGCATCCCATCCAGCAAATAGAAAGAAGCTCTGAAAAGCTGTAATAATGGAAGGCATTAGGCAGAAGGGAGCAGAAGGAAGGTTCTAGAAAAGACTGCATTGTTCTAGGGGAGGTCACCTTTCTTTGGAAGGGGTCTATCAAGAGGATTACCAGCCCTAGCTATTTTGACTCAGTGGATAGAGCGTTGGCCTGTGGACTGAAGTGTCCTGGGTTTCATTCGGGTCAAGGGCAGTACCTAGGTTGCAGGCTCCTCCAGAGTCCCAGGGCCTGGCACACATGCAGGAAACAACCAATCGACATGTTTCTCTCACATCGATAGTTCTCTCTGCTTTCCCTCTGGCTTCCAGTCTCTAAAACTCACTGGAAAATTATCCTGGGGTGAGGATTAAAAATAAAAAAGTAAAAGTAATGAAATAAGAAGACTGGCCTTACATCCCCAAATATGGGCTTTCCCATCCCAACAAGGTGCTAGCTAAGCTCTGTGAAGCTAAGCTCTGTCTTTAGGGTGGAACCCCTGGAGTTCTGTTCACCGCCCCAGCACAGAGTGGGAGCGCAATCCAGACAGAGTTTATCTGTGGACACAGGTCCCAGATCCAGTGCTGGCTTCCGGACAGCCCCAGGTCCAAGCCGTGTCCTGAAAGCACTATTGGAGCTGATCTCATTAGAGGCAGGTTCTGTCATAGCCTCAGCTTCCTGGAGAGAAAACTGAGACTCTGGGACTTGCCATTCATTTGCATCACACTGCACTGAGACCCACCCTCTGCCTGATGTGGGACTGGACTGACCCTTGAGACAAGAGGCAGAGTTTGAAGCCCCTTTGGATGTAAATGCAAACAGATGCCAGACAGTCGGAGTTTCATGGATGCTGAACACGTTGGCAGCATTGGATGGACTGTCTGGGAGGAA